GGTGATGGAGTGCTCTGATGAGCTCAGGGACGCCTATTTATAGCCAGGAGAGTGGGGCCGAGCTCGGGTGCCGCCATGCACGTCCGAGCGAGGACCTGCCGTGCCCAGCATTCACGGGGAGGCACATGGAAGGCGACGAGGGAGAAGCAGACGAGGTGCAGAGGTCATGGAGACGAGCGGCGCTCGGGTACACGAGGAAGAAGAGGACACGACCAAGGAAGACGACGCGGTCACGGGCCGAAACTGTGCAGCGACGGTGACGGCTCACCGGGGAAGCAAACAGAGGGGGAGATGGCTCCATTAGGACTGCGACGACACGGGGAACATGCTAGACATGCCCGTGCTCTCTGAGACGCCGAGTAAAGGAGGGGCCCGAGCAAGAAGACGCTCTGGACGCGGCCAGTGCATGGCAAAACGGTGGTCACCGCGCAGGGTGGCATCAAGAGGACTCCAGAGGCTTCCTTGACATGTCTGGTTACTAGTCCCTGCATCACTGAGCCTGAGGGAGGTAATGGATAAAGCATAGGGGCTCTAGGTCGATGGGATTACTCCACTAAAGTTTGTTGTATCAAACTGAATCAGGTTACAGTGATCAACAGCGAACAGGTTCGAACCAAATGAGTTGTCTGGGGTGTTTAGGATAGGAAGGCAAGAATCCTGTGAAGTTTGGTAGGAAATGGACCAATATATAACATAGTTGCTTTGCAACTGGCCAAAATGGTCCAGAATAGATATTATGATGATGCACTCAAATTAAGAATCCACTTGAGCTAAAATTTGGCATGCCAGTGTTACCTGGCCATATGAAGATGCTGTACAAATGTCATACCAAATGTATAAACTAAAATGGTACTTTCTTCACAAACATCTCCTCTAGGCAGAAACTTGAGAAACTTCCTAAGGTAAAATGGCTATATAAAATATGCGCAAATTTGGTGTACATAGGTTATATGGATAGGAGTAGGTCTTGGAAAATTTTCAGCCATAGTAGAGCAAGGTAAAATATACTTGGTTCACAAATTGAAAAATTTGATAGAAGCAAAGGTTTGGTCCTGGGCTCACATAGATCATGGGATGGAGCTTAAATTTGGAGGAGTGGGATAATATGAGCACATGAATGAATGTGAAAAATTTCAACTCATTTTGATAACCCTAGCTAGTACTTCCTTCACAATGCATTCCCTCAGACATAAACTTTGAAAACATTTATCAGGAGTATTTACTAGGCAAATGAGGTTGAAATTTGGCACAGAGCAATGATATGGACATGAAAAGGTGTTCAAAAAGTTTGAAGTGAATCTGGAGAAGATAAATAGCACTTGCTTCACAATGTGCCATTTAGGACAGAATAGGAAATGAATTAATTGAGCATGATGGGAAACATGGCCAATGAAATATTTTTCCATATTTGAGGAAGATATGACCCAAACAATTTATGATAATTATTTGGGAATTTTAAGAGTGATGGAAATATAGGTTGCTTCACAACCTAGGGCAAATTGGGTTATTCCTTTAAGAGAAAAAGGAATATTCCCAAGGAAAAGATTATTGGGATTGGTCCAAGATGGAAATGGCAAGGTCTAGTGATGGATAGGAGGATGACAAGCCACTCTGGAAAGAAACAAGAGGTCATCTTCTCCAATTTCCATACCACATAGCCACAGCAAAATAAAACTCAAGCAAAAATCTCAGAAAATTAAATGAAAAAGAAAGGGCCAAAAATCAGGCTGTGACAAACCTCCCCCCCCTTAAAGAAATCTCGTCCTCAAGATTTGGTTGCTCAAGGAACAAGTATGAATATACCGACTTAAGGAAACCGTTTCCAACTCAGGTATCCTTTTTCATTTATTGATTGTTCCCCATTGAATTTCATATGACTGTTTGTCTGGTCCTGGGGTGGGTTGTGTCACTGTATCCACATTCTGACAGATCATACCTTACAGGTTCATGCTTATACTGGCTCCAATTCTTTTCATATCTGTCGACCTAGCTGAGTGTGATAGATTATCATGACTAAAATATATGTCCGTCTCACAAGTCCAAGAGTGATTTCCGATGGATGTGTCGTCCAGCACTGACAACCTTTCATGAAGTGGTGAACATATTTTCCTGGTGGACACCCAAGCTTTTACTCCTTGCATTGGGTTTCTCCACTAACTGTGGGTCCTTCAGGGTCAAAACGGTGTTGTGGATCATAACTGTTTTTCTGACTGATACTGATTTCTTGCGGAGTTTCTGAATTATCTTGACTGGCTCCACTGCCTTGAGTGTCAGATCCGTACCCAATGTTTGACTATCGCCTGTCATGACCAACATAGAGGGGTATAGCCTTATATGGTAGTATCCGTAGACTTGACTGATGGTGGTTCTGACAGAAGAATTTTATCATGACAGGCTATCCTTTGATGATCCTCATAAGTGAGGACACATGCCTCAAGACGGTTATTCATCATCCTGATTATTCATTCGGTCGACATATCCATGGGGATAGTAGGCTGTGTGATGCTTTACCATAACTGTTGAGGTCAAACCGTTGAATTGACCTTTGGTCTGACAGGGCAGACTTAGATATGCGATACTGACAAATCTGAGCATATGCGGTTAACTGAGCGGGTTGTCTGGATATGAGGGCCTTACAAAAATTGAGTAGATCCCCTAAGGTGAATATTCATGGTGATCGATACTGACTTAGAATGTGCGAGGTATCTGCACCATGTGGGTCTTGCAACAATTTTCACACTTGCATCACCGTTCTTGCTCCTTCATTATTGTTTTCCTTGTCTGTATCCTTGGTTTAAGGAGCGGAGTCATATTACTTCTTCTTGTGACCATAGGTTCTGTCGGGTGCAATATTCTGACAGGCGTACACTTATCCTCATCTTCTGACATGGTAATATTGATTAAATGGCATGTTCATCACCTCTGAAGTTCTGACAGTAGGGAAATGATCATCCGAACCCTTGCAAGAAATTGGCAAATAAATCAGTAGACACCAGACGGTCGTTACAACTCAGATCTAGGACATTACTGAAATAACTCAACCACGGCTCAATACGGCCGAAAAGCAGCTCAGAGCATGAGACCGTGTTGATAAGAAGAACGTGGCAGCTCCCTAAGATAGCCGAAAAACAGCTCAGAGCAAAGGGCCACTGTCACAACAAGAAACTCAATAGCTATACGAGATGGCCGGAAAGCATCTCAGAACTCGTGACAGTTGTTGAATAGAGAGAAATAAAGTCAGCATCCAACCCGGATATCTAAAAACAGCTCAGATCATACGTGTGGTGCCGTTACTGGAGAGGAGAAGACAAGGGCCCTTCAGGATCATATTCCAGGTTCACATGTACTTGTACTGAGCTCACTGTTGTCGTCAATCTTCATAATCCTTTGTCACACTGCGGTGTATAACTGGCTTCCTTATCTTAAGAATCCTCATGTAGCTGTCAGATCTGTGTTCAGTGACTTGCAATACCTCGGTGATATGCTGACTGCATATATATATATATATATATATATATATATATCTACCTAATAATAAAGCAAATTGGGGTTGTGTCGTCCGTTTTTGGTAATTAAACCCGCAGTCCCTTTTTCAGTTGAAAAAAACGTTTCATTTAGAAATTTTACCAGGAAAACCTTGTGGTCTCCTGTATTCAACCCGCGGTCCTTTTAATGTGAGAAAATCGCAAGGAAGACAGGCGGATCGGGGCGCAGCGTCGAGGGATCTGGCGGGTGGTGCGGGGGGCTTCGGTGGCGGCGGCGTCCTTCTCATCCAGAGAAAGGGAGAGACATGGCGTGAGGGAGATAGGAAAGAGAGGAAGAAAGGAGAAGGAGAGGGGGCGCAAGGTGAGGGAGATGGTCGCCGGCGGTGGCGCCTCCGGTGACCGGCCGGCGGCAGGCCCGATGGTGTCTGGGGTTTTGGACACCTGCGCGAGCTACCCTGCTGCTGCTAATTCTTCTCTCCCCATGCCTCTGCAGCTGCTCCTTCTACTCCTCAGATGCCCATGCTTGCTCTGAAACAATCATTGTTGAAGGTGAAGTTCTTTTACAGAACAATGTAAAATATGTTATGCAGAGGAACTATGTTAGCTGAAGTGGTTGCTAAGTTGTTTGAACAAATGAAGATGAGGTTTGATGCTTAATTGTGCTTGCCGGACTGAAGGGCATGATTTCTGGACCACAGATGATGCATTTTATTGGCAGGCACAATCAAGGGCCCATCATCTTTCTGCTATAGGTTCAACACAAACAACAACTATCTTGTATTTACAATCTACCACTTTTAGCAACTAATTTTTGGCTGAATTAAAGTTTTTGGATGGTTACTGTCCCAGGAGTGACTGAACAATTGCAAAAATCTAAGCAAGAAGAAGATAGTTGACCCCAGGGACTGCCCCATGTGTATGCAGGCATCCGAAGACTGCACTCATCTGTTCTTGTTCTGCCCCAATGTTAGACCGATCTGGACAACCACTGGTATCAACCACAAATGCAGAGACATCAAAGATGTTTGGGTGTTTAATCCCCCAACTCCACTTCCAGCTTCTCTGCAAACTTTCATGATGCTGTTGGTTCTTTGGAAAATCTTGGACTCCAGGAATGCATGGGTTTCAGGAAAAATCGACTCTCACCAGTCGATGTACTAAAAAGATGTTGGTCTTTGGCCTGATTTCTTCTCCTCAAGGTAAACGATTGTCCTGTAATACCCCTATTTCTCCTTAAGTGAAAATTCAGGTGGGGAAGCCCCCATCCCCCCTCCTACATCACCTAGCCTGGTATCGTAACAAGTTTTATTTTGAATGCCTAGAACGTCTAGAAACTTTTCACTAAGTGCCCTCACAAATCTTATAAGTAAATGATGTTCTCTATGAATTTTTATTTTACAAGCTGCAACTACGTTACAATTTTCTCCCCTGCCTACAAGTTGGTACAGAGCCGAAACCCAACTGTCTTCCAATGGAGGTTTGTGCAAATGGAGGCCAAGTTGCTGTTGTGGTGGTATGGTTGGTAGGTCATGGTTTCACGTTCCGCTGCAGATTAAGAAGGCTCTCAAGGGTCTGAGAGTTGAGGTCTCCCACCGAGGAGAGGTGCGCAGGAAATACCGCATCAATGGCTTGACAAAGCAGTCTAGCAGAGATTTGAGGTTCAAATTATCGACCGGCGAAACCAAGACTGTGAGGGACTACTTTCGAGAAACCTGCAAGCTGCAACTAAGTTACGATTTTCTCCCCTGCCTGCAAGTTGGTACAGAACAAAAACCGAACTATCTTCCAATGGAGGTTTGTGCATTGGAGGCCAAGTTGCTGCTGTGGTGGTATGGCAAGACTGAACTCAACTCATCGGCTGTGGCAAAATGATCTCCCTACAAGTACTAACTAATTTGCATATATGCTCTGGTTCTCATGTTACTGTATGAATTAGGTGCCTCCAAATAAATTCTCAAAAAAAAGAAGTTTTAAAAAATAAGTTAGTTCGGATTCAGCACGTGGCTCTTGTTGCAATTGCTTGCATCACTTCTAGCTCATTTCTTTGTATTCTCTTAGTTAGTTCATTATTCAGGCTCTACTACTTATCATCATTTTTGGCCCAGGAAAACAGTGTCATGATTTATAAACTAAATGAAAATATTATCCCCAAAATCCCAACCAGTAGATGCAAACATCACACCATATCTAAAATGTTCATCCCTAATTTAACAGGTACCAACAAGGTGAAAAGATCCTCAGCTGAGTGTCTTTGCTGAGGGTCAATTTCTTTAGGAGCAGGCAAAACCGCCTCGATGCAGAGAGATCTTCCATACATGCACCGTTGTCTCGAAACACTTTACTTCATTGTGTGCTTTACTGACTGAATAACTACTTCTGATTCTTGTCAAAGGTTGAAGCTGTGAAGAAGATAATCAAGTACGTATGATGCAGTTTAGGAGAGTTGTCAAAGAGCACGGTTAGTTTGTTCTGTTATAATACTAAATTCGTAGATGGTGGTGTAGCTGTACTGTTATGTCGTGTTCAGCAGCGATAAGACCATTGCTCTTCATGTTTTTAGTTTAATCTGTACTAATTCAGAAAGATTAGTCACATATTGGTCGTTGTTAGCCACCTGAAGTTAATGGGAGAGGAAGGAGCATGAGTGGTCTTTTCTTTTCGTTTCACAAATTAGCCACAAGTTAAATGCAGGGTGAGAGCATGTGCAGATTAATTTTTTACCGACTGGAACAGGCTATCAAAGATTGTTCTATCCGTCTTGGAAAAATGTGTTCAAAGTGAATTCTTTCAAGAGCTGAGCCTATTTATTAACTTATGTAAGTCCTTAGATTCTATGGCCGCAATCCAGAAGCTTTATGAGATTTGCCAAGTATATTATGAAAAACGGTCGTCATCTCCTGAAGCCGTCGAAAATGTTTGTGTCGTATTAGTTAAGAACTACATGGAGAATTGACACTAACCAAACTAAATGCCTTACTATTGATTACCACATATTGTATTGTGAGCATGGGATGTATTTCTATGCTTGGAGAAAAACACATTATTATTAATTAGATTATATTTCGTTATTGGATGTGTTCCTATACTATCTTGAATAAACAAAAACTTCATATATAATTACCCGAGCAGGTGCGCCACATTGTTCTTTTTATTTTATTTTGTAGTAACACAAGGGCAATGGCACTCACATTTGAATACCCACATCGTCGACTGGCGGGCCGAAGGAGGGCACCCTAGAGCGGATGCCCACTCAACCGGGCCTTGGCAAGGACACCTGCCTCATGCCGCTGCACGCTCATGTGCTCTCCTATTCTGAATCGTTGGGCACAGGAGGAGTAGGAGGCCATGGGTGGCATTGGGTCTGACCAATGGCTTGAGGACCTTCTTGACAACAAGACTACCGTGCCATGCTGTCGTGTTGGGTCATCACGGTGACCATGGACAGTCAGGCTTCATGGTGGGGCCGGGATGGACCCCTGGTAGGATCGTAGGCAATGTCGCTTGCTCTGCCACGTCATTATACGCGATCCAGGGCAAGAGGATATCAACCAGGACACAGTTGTATCCCCATTGCAACGCAGAGGTTTCATATTACAAAAGATATTATTCTCTAATATGAATCTGTAAGAAAAGATATGTCATACATTTGTGCAAATTGATAATGTAAGCTAATCTCAAAACTTTATTTCAAGATTGATTACTCGGTGGTGCTAACTTCCATTTTCTCAAAACAGGATGTGCATGCTATTTCTGAAAAAAGAAGCTTCTATGTTGGATGGCGTCCCTGGTGGTAGTTTAAGATATCTAGCAAATGAAAGGGCGCCTCATAATTCATTGGATATAGTTGGCTGTAAATGACTGTCAGTTTCTAGCTTAAATATAGTTTTAGATATCTAGATATGTACTCTTTAACAGTATGATGTGCTTGATGGTGGCCCTATGTGTTGGTTGAAATTATCACGTTCTTTACGAGCAGTTGCAGTGCTCTTATTATTTTATTTTCACAAATATCATCACATTTTCCCTCAATCTTAAGATATGCACTATGCTGCTCCTCCTGGCTTGTGTGTTGCTTCCGCTGGATGATGCTCTGTTTTATGTTTGTTTGGACAAGGTCCAAGACCTGGCTGATGTACAGTTTTGACATACAATGATCTGCATATGTATGTCTTTATTTGGGTTATAGACAGGATACAAATATTGTATGTCAGTGTGGAACACCGTACGCCTTTTAACTCATTCTAGGTGTTCATTCAATCTGAATTGTGTTGTTTTATTTAGCCTATGCTAGCTTGTGATTTCTTGTGCTGCAAGCTGTAGTTAATTTTCCGTAACTGACGTCTTTGATCCTGCAGTTGGGTAATGCACTTGTGATCATTTTTCTTACTCTGCTGTCAGTATCACCGGTCTTGGGGTTCAGATTTTGTCAATATCAAAATCTAGGTACTTACCAGCAAATGAGTTATTGATCTATTTACTTAGTCAAGTTCATTTCTGTTATGTTCTTCAGTCAAGCTTCAGATTCTAGCCTTGATTAAATGGCAATGATATTCTCCAAAACCTACTAAGGTCAGAAATCCTGCCACCCAACAGGATGGTTTGCCAACTGCTGTGAGCATTGCTCAGTGTGTGTCAGCCATTCATTAGCATTGGAATTTGCCGGAGCGGCCCGATGCAGCGGCTGCCATGGACGGAGGCCTTGCGCTTGGCCGGCACGCCGATGCAGAGGAGGCGCGAGGGAGACGAGAGGAACACGGGGAAGAAGGAGGAGGCGGCGGAGAAGGGTTCATCACCGGCGTGGCAGCGCTCTCCGGTCGGAGTGGCGGCCGAGGGCCGCGAGGCTGGCGGGATCTCGCAACGACAGTGTCTCCTTTTTTCGAGAGCGTGCGTGGTTTTGTGTAGGCCAAGTCGTTTGGGCCAAGCCCAAAAAGTGCCAAAAACAATTGCAGATAAAATATATTTTTCAAAAAACAAAAATTCTGAAAAAAACATTTTTCAGAAAAAAGTTCTCAAAAAAATTTTTACCCCTAAAATAACATTCTTTTCAAGAAAAACATGTGTTCAAAAAATATTCTTTTTTAGGGAAATGTTCAAATTTCATAAAAATGTTAACTCTTCTTAAAAAAGTATTACCATTTTTATGTAAACATTAACCTTAAAAAATAAGAAAATTTTAACATTTAACCTTATCATCGATGTTTATTAAAATTGGATATAATAGATGGTGCACAATGGCACATGAAGCAGGCTGCACAAAAAAAATGCGGATAAAATATATCTTTTGAAAAATAAAACATTATTAAAATTATATTATACAGAAGTATGCTCTTAACCCTAAAAAAACAAAACATTCTTACTTCTAAAATATCATTATTTTCAAGAAAAACATGTGTTAAAAATGTTCTTTTTCAGAGAAATGTTCAAAATTCATAAAAATGTTAACTATTCTCAAAAACTATTCTAATTTTTATGTAAACGTTAAATTTTATTTTAAAAAAAGAAAGTTTTAACCTTTAACCTTATCATTGACGTTTATTACAATTGAATATAAAAGATGGTGCATAATGTCACATGAAACAGGTTGTGCCTCTTTTTTCGCCCGGTGCAACGCAC